TTCATTTAATTTAGATTTAGAGATTTCGCAAGCACTATGCTGGTTTTGCGGCGCGCTCCGCAGATTATTATAATTCAGATATGTCGACTCATTGTTGTTAAAATCTTTTCCAATACTTTGGTTGCTAAACGCCATTTGATTCACATCAACGTTTTTCTGTTGAAAGCTATCGTTGCTCATAAGAGTCATCTTTCGAGCGAAACATTCCGTATTCTGAGCTAAATTGTAAATAGAATTTTCTATCCGGTTGTGTCGGAACTGATGTCCGTTTGTAAGGTAACCTATTTGGTTGGTGTTCTTGACTGGAGGTCCACCGAGTACAATGATTTGTTTACCGACTGATGGCAATGATTGGTAATTGCAGTTTTGTTTGTTAATAACTGTATTATTGCTAATGACTTCTTTCTTGTGTGTATTTATTGGCAGATGTGGTGGTACCAATATGACTTGTTCACTTTTATTATTTATCATTGCTTTTGGCGATTTCTCCTTTGAAGATCTATGTGTTGGTTTTTTTGAAGACTTGGTTACACTTTTAGCATTCTCTGTTGATTCTGTTGAAATCGGGAATAATTAGGACAGTTAGGTACACTAATTAATTGAAAAAAGAAGTATAGGTAAGTAATGTCATTTATGACATTCCGGACAAAGGGCAAAAAGTCCGGACAAATCCGGACGGTTGTAACCCTATCTACAACGAATCTTTAGTATTTCAAAAAATGATAAAAGTAATAGATTTTGTAAGATTCTCATATTATAATTAGTAACTGGACTTTTTAACCCCATTATATTTCCTTCTGAAAAAGAAAAGTTTCAATGTTTGTTACTCAATCACGCAAGAACCACTGAACGGATATGGATGAATTTTGGCACGCATATAGTTATCATCTGGTTTGACACATAGGACACTTACTTTAATACCGGAAAATGTTAGGTAGGGAAGGATTTTTAAAAGGCGACCGCAATTACTTGTACGTTCTATATTTCTTGGATTCAGTCATAATCACTGTATAAGTAGGTAGGTTATGTAATAAAATGTCTAAAGAAGTACCTTTGCATCCTTCAGTAGTTTTAACCTTCTTGGATTTGGGCTCACTCTCGTGTGTTCCGCTGCATTTCCTCTTCAAATCTTTAGGTTTGAGCGAACTCAACTCTTCCCTTAATTCGTTTTGAGCGATGATCACCTCCATGGAAGCCAGCACCGCTTGACATTTCCCAAATAAGGACATCGCTTCGATCTTCTCTCTTTTCAACTTGGCCAATTTGACTTTCATCTCCGCCTTCGTTCTAACTTTTGAATTGGATATCTCAAACACATTTCTACTTATATTTTTAAGAGTTCTGTCTAGCTCTTCGAGGCCATGGCATTTAAGCAAATCCACAGTTGGTTTTAAAGTCGCCATTTATGCAGCGGTTAAATGTGAGAATAGAGAGTTAAAATAAATCTTTTGGATGCGTGTGATAATGATGTTACGGTAAGTGCATGGAGTGGGTAGTTGTATAATCAAAAAGTAGGTATTAAGACATCAAGTAAGTATTAGGCCTCAACCACATAGGCGCGTTTTTATCGGTCGAAAATAAAATATCTGATGCGTTATTGCGATGTTTGTTTTTAGTACGATTGAACCAACTGATGACCTGACCGAATTGCCCGATAATTTGCCTAAAATTGTCAAAACAGACAAGTTTTCCTTTGTAGAGAATGGGTAGTTGCACTTAGGACCTTCATAAATGGATAAAAGATATTTGTAATTTGACCTTTACTTTCAATGAAATAGATCATGTTATAGATAAAATTAGAATGGTAAATGTAACAGAAACTTTTTGACATTTTTGACTGAGAGGGAAAATCTTAGTGCATGGGCAAAACTCCAAATAATTTAATGTCAAAATTATGTCACAGGAAAAAAAAAACTTTCTTTTTTTCAGGTCCGTGCACGGAAGACCGTATTTGTCACGACAAATATCATTGTTTATTAATCACAAATTTGTTGACAGAGATACGTATATTTAAGCAAAAGTCAACCTTATTGTTTTGGAATGGTTGTAACAAAATAAGCTTATGATGGGCTCGGAATCAAATTAGCTCATCGTACATTATGTATGAGAAGGACTACGAAGTTACACACTGGTATCGATTCTGGCATGATTCTTGAGGCCTAAACTTTTTGACAACAATGTATTCTTCTCATACTCTATAGAGAATGGAAAGGAGAGAGAGACTGATATTAAACATTATTATACTACATTATTCATCAATAAATAGCACTATCAAAGTCACTCACTTTTCCTCAATAGATGGTATTAGCGAAGTTGTATTAAACACTTATCTTGGATAGATGGAGCTAAAAGACTGCATTTACACTTTTCCTCGATAGATGTCATATGCGAAGTTGCACTCGCACTGGTGTTAAGAAACACGAAAGCCCACGACACTAAACCTAGTATGATATTAAGTAACCTAGTATGTAATAAAATGTCGCTTGAAAAGTACGGCTTGCAAAAAAATCTTGTAACCCTTTTTTAGCACTCAGCTAATTAAGGAATAAAAACCAAACATTTGTAAACAAACAATAACAAATATTGTTATTTATATTGGTTGATATTTTATTTTCATTTATTGAGCTTTGGCTATGAATGTTTGATAACCTAAATCGTCAACCAAATGTCACTTTAAGTTGCGTTCAGAAACTCGATTTAAAACTTTGGCTTACATATAGGTTGCATGTTCGTATGTGACCTAGTAATAGTGCATGATTATTCATAACTACTCCGGCGGGAATGCCGAGATGAGCGGAATTGAAGAGCTTAATTCTGATTAATGTTTTTTCTCGTACAGTCTTAATAAATAAATATTATTAAAAATCGTTTATTTTCTTTTCTCAATTTTAGTAAATAAATTTTATTAAAAAATCGAATATTTTTTCTCACTTAATCTTAGTAAATAACTTTTATTAAATAAAAACTTTTTTGCTCACTCTACCCTTTTCGTTTGAATTGACAGCTACGACGTCACAATATGGCGCCCCGTCGATCCTGTTCTTAGTTGAATCGCATTATACACTTAGTTGTTTACCCGAATTCCATTGGTAACCGTTACTGGTTCAGTCATTAAAATAATGTCTGAACGCTCAATTGATTATAACTTTTTAACCTTAAAAGCTATGAGAACTAAAACATTATATATAAAGTTAATAGTCTAGTAGCAACTAGGTTTAAAAAAAAATCCATTCAGTTACGTAGTTTGTTCTCACTGGATAGGTGACCAGCCATTCTGACGTCTGAATGGCTCGTCACCCTGAAAAGTATTTTTTTTTATCGGGGGTAGCAACAAGTATTTATCGATTAGTAGTAAAATATGGGTAGCGACTGGCAATTCTGACGCTCGCGGCTAACGACCAAGTGTAATTGAGCCATTAGTGTTGTAAGATAATTAACGTTTTTGTGGTTTGCTATGGGCGGTTAACTTAAGTCCTTGAAAGTATGAATGGGTAACTTGGGTTTGTATCTTTTTTGAAGACGACATTATCTGCCTTTATGCAAATCTGTCATTTTGCTATTCTAACTCGCCAACATAAATATACCACCACCTAAAGGTTGTGTTATTTTACCGACTTTCCCAGACGGACGTTCCAATTCGAGCGGAAAAATCAGCTATGCACTTCTCTTCTAAATTATTAGCGTATGTTGGCGGTTTATCATGTTCACCATACTTACCTAGATCTATCATAATAATAGGAAGATTTTCTCTATAGACTCTGCCCAGTGAAAGCGGTAGGTTAATAAAGCTGTGGCTGTGACTTAGGCAATTGACCCGCAGGTCCTGCAACGGTGAGAAAGTACTTTCTCACTGTCTCAGCATAAGCTGAGGCAGGGTCCTGATTGGCAGTCTTAGATTATCATGTTCGTTAGATTAAGTTTTCTTGCATTTTTTTTTGTTTTATTTATAAGTTTTGCTTTAAGTTAAGATGACCAATTAAGGTTTCATTTCATTTTCATGGCCTCGGCGGACATTTTTTTCCCTATTTAGTCCGTGGAGGACAAAGACCCGCAACTGCGCAGGCCTTCAATGAAATTTTGTTTATATCCTGCCGCTTTACACTTCTGCCCCTCTAGCATGACCACCGAAACGGGATGTGATAAAGCGATATATCGACATTAACTGTCAGACTATTGTCAAACTCCATAGTAGTCCGACAGTTAATGCCGATATATCGCTTTATCATAACCCGTTTCGGTGGTCATGCTAGAGGGGCTGATGACTATTTGTCATTTTGACAGCATATCCTATATATATCCTTATAGTCCTTATCATAATCTAGTATAGTGTTTAGCCTAAGCAATAAAGTCAAATAATAAAATTTTGCCGCACTAGCTTTTTTACAGATGTAAAGCCTCGATGACACGGGGCGAGTTTACAAGCTATAAGCCAGCTAGTTCGCTAGTAGCTTGTAAACTCGCCCCGTATCATCGACTAGCAGATGGTAAAAGAGCCGATGACACGGGAAGAGTTTAGAAGTTGTTAGTAAACTTTCTGGCTTTTAGCTTGTTAGCTCGCCCCGTGTCATCGAGGGTTCAGGGTAGGTCGTAAAAAGCTTAAGTTTAAAAATCGGGGAATGTATGGTAGTCACAACTAGCCGCCATATTGGAAAACGCGTTTATCGCTATATCACCGAAATTATTGACTTTGTAGAGTGCTTTTTTGTTTATTACTTAATTCGCTATCTTTTTTGTCTAATACTTTTAATTGTAACTCTTACCGTTTTTCAATTATTGTTGCTTATGTACATGTTAGTAGTTGCTCTTATAAAACCTAAAAATGCAATTAATTCATAAAAAACGTCAAGGCCTTCCTAGAAATGTTTTAAACAGCCACAGCAATGACATTTCTTACTCGCAAACGATACGAATTCGATATTGGTTCGTGCTAAGGGTACTGGCATTATAACAGTGGAAATAATCAATAACAATTTTCGTGGAGTGAAGAAAAATAAAAAAAAAACACTTTTTAACTTGGTATAATTTCATTTAAAAATAAAAGGGTTGTAATGTTTACAATACAATTGTTTCCATCGCAACACTAGCACAGGAGACCACTGTGTGTTGGAGAGTGAATTCATTGAAACAAATTTTTTATTACTAAAACGTTCATTTTGATTGAGTATACGAGTGAGTGAGACGCATAATCAAAAACTGCTGGTCCCTTTCTATATTCAAATACGAAGGATAAAGGAATAAATAAGGCTCCTGTGACGTCATGTCAGCCTATGCCGGTTATTCCCGCTCGTCAGCCCCAGCTTTGTCCCCTACGGTGACGAGTGGAAATTTTCCTAAATAGAAATCCCCTGTGGCGAATGGGAATTAACACAAAAAAACTATCTTTTCGTAAGTGAAATCCCATTTGACACAGGGAGTGACGAGCATAGAGGTATAAGAATAGAGTAGGGGAAATATAGAGTCTACTACAAGTGGCAGTGTCCCTCTAATGGAAAGAGAAAGAAGATGAGAGACAGCTATCTTTCTCTCTCTAATCGCGCATGCGCATTGGCAACCGTAAGCATCGTACTATTTCGATGTGATGCCATCGGATGCCATGCGTCACAAGAGAGAGAGATAGCTAGCGGTCTCTAATCTTCTTTCTCTTTCTACTAGACGGACACTTTTAGAGCCGCCTTCCTCACTCTATTCTTATATCTCTACGGGAATGATCGGCCTGTACGGGATGACATGCGTCAAATATGCCAAACCAAAAGTTAAGACAAACATAAATCAGTATCAGTACAATTGTTGGAATTAAATAACCCTATTATAAATATTTGGAATTGCGCTTCATGTGAAGATCGTTCAAACCCATCATACACTCTTTTCCCTTATCCTTCCATGTTGAATTGCTAATAATTAAAGGCACTGATAATTTTCAAAAGTACAGTTTTAATATACCAACATCCGAATGGTATCGTTATTGCATCCAATGCCCGCAACATTAACGCGATAACATAAATTAACTAATTCGACTTGGCGCGGTAAAAACATGACGATAAAGCTGTGGCACACTAAATACAGTTTTTGTGCACAAATTAACAGTCTCAATACGTTCATATGAATTAATGATATGGCAAATATTAAAAAAAATATATACCCTATTTAGTGAAAATTCCCTTTTTAATGTTACTATGTTATAAGGCAGCGGCAAACTTCTTGGGGAAATCCATAGACAAAAAAAGTTGCGAATTTGACGTCTTTGTATGAAAAACTACTGCGCAGGCGCCCTTGTCTATGGTCGTCGCTATTCGCAAGTTTACTATATTCATTACGACTTTCGGTTTCTAGAGTTAGGGTAATATTTTAGTTTGCTTAAATATCATTGCAAAGAGCCACTTTTTTGTTACATTGAATGTTCAAACGTTAGAAATAACAATATAACTATGTATTCAGTGTGCCATGCTTCAGACAGCTTGTCCAGGAGGGTCGACCGGTATTAGGTGACCAACACGAAAACCGGTTTTTTATCGATTCGATAAACCGGTTCCGGGTTTCCGATTACCGGTGTCAGCAATCGAATTACCGGTTTCAAGAATCGGTTGTCTTTTTTCGGAATACCGGTTCGCGCAACCGGAACCACCGTCGTGTCTGACTAGACCCTAGATAATAGAGAATGGACTGAACGAATATAAATGAAAACTTTCTAGTAGGAGAAAATGCTATAAACAAAACCTATACGAAGTATTGGGCGTACGATCTCTTCGTTCGTTGCGTTTCCAAAGAAGCAGACTGAAGCACTCTTAAAGTAATTGACCAATAGCACTTCCATTATGTTTATTTCGAGCAATGCCATTGGTCAATTTCTTAAACACGTTCACTGCGTAAAGAAAGCAGCCACTTCAGCCACACAATTCGAATAGATGAATTAGATCTAGATAAACGTCAAATGTGTACTGATTTCCAGTTCTCGTTACGTCCGTTGTGGCGTTGCTGTTCAAATTACCATATATATTTCGACAAATCATAATAATCATAATCAAAATCATTTATTCAGTTTTAGCTGTTACAAGCACTCATGAATGTCTAGAAGCTACGCCATCGGTTCGTAAATCTACGGCGGGAGTCCTTGTACTGAGAAGAACCGGCAAGAAACTCAGCAAGGGCTGTTTTTTGTCCCTGTTTTATTATTTACAGAGATTTTTCTTACTCGCAAATGTAATGAATTCGATTTTGGTTCGCGCAAAGGGTTATGGCGGACGACCGCTGACATAAAAAGTTTACGTTCGCAGTGAATGTGTTAAGTTGGAAACGCAGCACGCTGTCGGCCCAACTTTGCTTTAAATCTGGACAGGAAACGCTCAATCCATTCTCTATTGTCTACGGATTGGACAAGCTGGCTGTTCGGTGGTCCAAGGCAGCGTGTTTAATAGTCGTCGATGTCGTAGAGGTTGTCGATCTCCTCGTCGTCGAGTTGCATCGACTGGAAGTCGACCTTGTAGCGGAGACAACCTGCAATTCAAACGAAACTATTGCAATATTTTTCAAAACTTGAGAAGGTAAATCTAATTACAATGTAACCGAACAAAACTCAGGTAAAACTAGAAAAATAACAAAATTATGGTCTTTTTAAATGTCGATGGTGGAAAACTATCTGGCATGTGATATTGTTTCGAGGAACGGTGCGACATTAATAAAGCTGATGTCTTTTTAGTCCTATTTTAATGGCGGTCCCAATAGCGCATACTATTTGCTTAACTAATGCTACGGCCATATTATTGCACTATCACGAATAGCGTTGCCAGGCGTCCGGATTAAGCCGGGCATAGTTAGGCTTTTTGATTGCTTGTTCGGCCAAAATGTATGGCTTGTCCGGCTTTTTACATTTCGCAAACGAGCGAGCGCCGAACTTGGCTGAGCGCAAGCAAGCAAAATATTTTGTCATACCTAATATTACTGAACTACAAAATCCTCAATAAAGCTCCCTACTTTCGGCCTTGTTACCCAAATGTACAGCCAAGCTGGCTATTCTGTCCGACTATTACGTTTAGCGACCAAGCAACCCTAATCGCGAACATTTACCGTTTTCTCGACGTATTTTACCAAGCAATAGTCACATTTCTGACCGTGTTCTGATATGTGACTATTGCTTGGCCCGACTTGTCGTGAAAACAGAAAATGTTCGCGATAGCGTGACAGTATAGCCGTAGCAAAAGATGTTCTCGTACGAGAACGTGCCCGTACGAATATCTGCCATTTTAGTTTTACATAAAATAAAGAATTTCACGTTTGAACCTATGCGGTGTAATGGTAATAAAAAGTCACATTATGCGTATTATATATGAATATTGAGCTACATTTTTATCAGGCTTCAAGTCTTAATATTTTACTAATAAAGGTATCCTAAATAAAGGCGTTTCTATTTATCACGCGAGGTTTTCAATAACAAGTGGAAAGTATTGTACGGTGAAAGAAAAATTGGAGAATAATTGAAAACTGATAAAAATAATCATAGGTGTGAATAATAAACTTATGATTGTAAAAGCACAAAATAAATACACAGAAAAATACATGCATTGTGGTTCATAGTAACATATACTTAATGGATCATCAATTAGGTACTTTGATTTGACAAATCAAATTTTCGCTATAATTGCTCAATCTTACTGTTAACGAAATTTTTATGGCGCTTCACCAGCTCGCGCGTTTGACCACAACACTAACCTAATCAAGTGTGAATCTAAAAAGCCAAAAACAAGAGAATATTAAATAAACCACCGATTCTTGTAGCAATCATACTGAGGCGACTCGCGTTTTCGCAAAAAAACCTATATGTTTTCAGTAAGATCGGGAAATGTCATCGGCATTTTCTAATTATCTGCGTTTTCGCAAAAATATCTAGGATTTTCACGAAAATCCGATTAATCATCCAACAACACATATACAAAATCAATGTAATAGCACTCACGTTACCAAAATAATATAATGGAGTCTGAAATTTTAAATATTGCTAAATCACAACTATTACAGAATCAGATCCGTAAAGTATAACTATGATGTGAATTATAAAAAACAATGTTACCTTTGATCCCAGCGGTGTTAGCAATGAAAATAGTTTTGACAAAATAAATAGTACAGGCATCAAACTTACTAAGTCAGCGCGGCAATAAATTGACAAATAGGAATATTACTATAGCATACGGCTACAATATTTAAATCTTGAAGCTATACTCATAAGATACATTCATATAAAAATTTCATGCCATGCCGACAATGGCCTATGGCCGGCTCTATCTACATAAAGTCAACTGCGGAAATTTGTATGTTTTTTAATATGTTGTTGCCTGCACTAAATTACTAGTGACCGATGAAAGTGCGACCAGAAAATTAACAAAGAATAAAAAAAAAAACTGGCTGATTCCGGTATTGAAATAAATTTTACCGGTATTTCGTAATGAAGAGTCACTCTAACACACTAAACTTACATAAGTCTCTTCTTTTAATTCTAGCCGAGGTATACTGCGATATCAAAGAGAAAATAGACTTGGCGTACGTAAATGTGGATATGGAACAATTTATAAGAATAAATATTTTCAGACTTCAGGTTCAATTTGCTATCAGAAATGAAGATATGAGGAGGTAAATAATAACATTATTGCTGTTTCAATCATTTTTTTTTCATATTTCAGAAAAGCATACATTCTCAAAACCCTTGTTACATCTTCTTAGTCTTACTACGCCTAAAAATACACGTCTCGTTTTAGTAGAACTTATTATGTCTAAAATTGAAAACCTTTTAAATTATCCTAAGACTAATAAAATATTTTTTTTCTGCGCATTAAAACAATAATGCTTGCCTTTACAATGGCAATTCATGATAAAAAGAGGCAGAAACAAAAAAATCTCGTAAAACAAATCTATAAAAACAATGTGCCGATTTAGAACAGACAGACATACAAAAACAACCCTTGTAACTTTGCACTCAACATTCGCGCGTTTCGATGACCTTTAAACTTCGACTAGCTTCGTTTAATTGGACCTTAGTTATAAATTATTGGGTACTAAACAGAAATCTATTTAGTGCACAACTGTTTTATAAGGATAATTTGTAGGAAAATGGCATTTTAACCATATAGACAGCAGAGATAAACTGTATAAAAAAGCGCTATATCTTTGGTCAATCAAATTAAAGATACCTTGATTGTATTTCAACACTTATTTGTATCAATATCAATCAACATCGTATTATCAAGGTGTTTTATAAGATACCTTAAAATGTTAAATTAAAAATAATTCCATCAACTTTGACTAAAATACTATTTATGATTTGATCAGAGGTAAATAAATAATAGAATGGAGATAATCAAAGAAAAACGCTGTCAAAATTAAATCTAATAGACTTGTAATTGTTTCAATTGTGCCTCTCTGATTGGACAAATCGAAACCAGCATCAAATATAATTAGGTTTTGGTTCCGGTAATCAACAACCGGTTCAATGAAAAATGCAAAGTCTCAAGGTACCTTCGACCCGGATCAAATTGCTCCTGCGTTATTTCTATTAGCAAAGTTCGAGTCTAAACACGGCACCGCTTATGTGATGTAAGTCTCATTCTCGCTTCAAAAGAGGAACAGAGAACGAGGAAACGTCTCCGATCGTACCGCATCAGACAACAACCAATGCGCTTCACAATGTATGCTTCTCCTAAACTCGAGTATACTATATTATAGTGGTACTGTATTGTGTGCCAGCCCAGAAATATGTGTATTGCTATGCTAACATCACTCACTATTATTTGAATATTATTTAGTTATTGCAGTTCGAAGTTTTAGTAATTCTATGAATAGCAACAATAAATATTTGCAAGGATATCTCTTCATTCCTTTTATCAATATATAAAAGTACAAACTGTATACTCTCTCTCTTTATCATTCTTGCTTGACATTCAACTGCTTTAAGAAAAGTCTTTAGTTCACTTGTTCTTTGTTTAACAAAGCTTATAAGATATTAAACTTACACAAATAAATTTAGGAATAATTATGAATTAAAATTTTATTGAATTTCTAATAAACAGTGATTTTAAAATTATTAACATTTATTAGATCGGAGTTTTCCTGTGTTTTACATTATTGTGAATTTATATGTATTGTTTATTAGTAAAAGTGTTAATTAATATGAGCAACCTGTTCCTTTGAGCTATGCAGGGCAGCTTAATACCGGAAAAAACGGTAATTTATATATACCGGTTTTGGTTGATACATGAAACATATCGGTAATAATTACGGCGTGCTTTTATTGATATTATCTAAATATATATATATATATATATCTATATTTATATATATATGTATATAAAGTATTACAGCTGCATACAAAAGGTTACACAGACCAACTGCAACTAATATGTGTCCAATACAGACCAAGTTTATTAATTCACTATGCAAATGTTCTATGCAGTCTATGAATAATTTGATGTAATACAATTTATATATTTTATTAAGTATTAAAATGTATTATTGCATATGAATTCCAGTGGATCTTTATACTATATTATGTGATTGTAAAGCACTTTCTAGGATAATTGAATAATATATATTATATTTGAATGTATGCTTATTTCTGGGCTGGTCACGTTATTGTGATGGGTGTCTATATGTTGTATATATATGTAGAGCTACGTTGTATATTTCATATATTATACGTTTTAGGATAATACAAGTTGGTTAAGTGCGCTGAAATTTGATCATGCCATAATTATATGGTTCTCTCTTTTTTTAATGGGGTTGTATGTATAAGCCAGGGACGGGTTTTATGTAGAAAATATATACCTATATTTTGTCATTAGTAATAGCAACGCACTAACACTGCTTATTATCTTTTAATGTTTTCTGACTCTAAGGATGTGCTTCCACAGTCTCAATCAGAATCTGGAGTCATACATAATATGAATTCATATTATTAATTCAGAGCGCACGGAATTGCACGCAATTTAGGGACCGTTCAAGTATTACGTAACGCAATGGGGGGGGGGGTAAACGTTACGATGCGTTACATGGCGGGAGCGGCGTAATTAAATGTTAGATTCTACCAATCTAAAGAAAAGTAATTTAGCGACTTTTCGGTAGTTTCCGCAGCATAGTTGTGACATTTTGATGTGATTATGAGAGATTGATCCTACAGAATGAAACTGCGTTTGAAAGCGTTATGAATTCATATTACGAAAATTGTGCAAACGCATCTCTTTTCATACATAAAAACAGAATGAGATTATGAATGTATCAGTTAATATAATCTCTATAACATGTGATTGAACTTTACACTATACCTATTTGGAGACGTTTGCGAGACAACTAATCAAAACCATAGATCAAACGGAATTGATAAGACTTGTGTGCGTTAAAGTGTCGGAATTTAGATTATGAATTCATATTATGGAATCAGATTCTGATTTGGACTGTCTAAGGCCAGCCTTTATTACTCTGAATTGTACTTCACAATCCACAGAACAGTGAGT